TTAGTGAATTACTGTAGGTAGATGCTTATTTTCTGAAGGGAAACAATAGCGCTTATGTAAAACATTTACTTTAATTATCATTTAAAGAGCATCCAGAAATTATTCAGGAAACGCAAGAAGATAAAGTTTTATAGCGCAAACAAATATTAAAAATTAGAGCAGAAATAGATAATAAAAATTCATTTCATATAGTGATAAATTATTATCCGACATCGAGTCAACTGGCGTTTGCACAACTTTAAACCTAATGATCTGTCCAGATAACAATGCCCCATTAGAATCCGGCTGAATTTCCATTAGAGTAATGCAATTTTTCTGTCAATATAACGATTCGTCGATCGGCCAAAATCGCGTTAGAACGACACTCTTGAATGCATGATTAGGTAAAATGTGAGGCTTTCTTCTAAGAAACGGATAGTTCCTTTTTTCTGAAGGCTACAAATAAGAAAAGTAAAGTACAATTTTGCCCAACCACTTTCCAGCACCTTTACTTTGAATTTCAAACTATAACCCGGAAAAGAAATAGAATGATTCTTTGGAAGGTGTCATATCTTATGACAATAGCACACTTTGAACAAAAGTGCTTTATTTATGTAAAAAAGATCGAATTTATGTGTGTTTGCATCGTACTGAAAGTGAGCCTTCTTCAAGTTAAAGATACGCAGACGGGCCGCAAATGATCTTTCTTTTACTCCTTCTTAAGCTGAATATTAAACTTTTATTAAAGACCTGATTCTTCGACACGCGCATTGTATATGAATGTATAAAATATTTCTTTAAAGTGGCTGGTTTAAAGCGCGGTATTTACCATTCCTTTTCTTTTTCAAATCTGGCCACCTTTTTTATATTTACTGGATACTGATTTTCTGAGCTAAAAAAAATACATGAATGTTTTCATTTGCTTTGAAAGGAAATGTAAGTCCATTTAAGTTTGTCTTGCTCTTCCAATGTGATATTTTGTAGTTTGCTGCTATGTCTCGATTATAAACAATTAAGCTCAGCTTTATTAGTCGATACTAAATAAAAGACTATAGAGGCATTAGTTTTTTTCTTTTTTTAAAGCAGGAGAAGTGAAAAATGGGCAATTTCCTCGCCGGGACTCGAACCTGGACATGTCGAATATGCTCCGAGTGTGCTACCGTTACACCACGAAAGCATGCTGGAAGGAGGGAGAAAATAGCTTTACCTTATATACTACCTCTTTTAAGGGCGACTGGGGATTGGGAGTCCCAATTGCCAAATTCTGGTGGTGACAAATTATTGTGCACCACCTTTTAGTTTGGGCGCCACTGTAAGTGTCATTGTTTTTTTTTCTTCTTCTTGTTTTTGTTTTGTTTAAGTAGGAGACGGGGAAAAATATGCAGTGCCCTCGCCGGGACTTGAACCTGGACCTCTCGAATAAGCGCCAAGTGTGCTACCGTTACTCTACGAAAGCATGCTGAAAGGAGGGAGAAAATATCTTATAAGACTTTAGAATACATGAACAAGAGAATATTTCTGAAAGGAAATTGCTGAACTTTCCAACATTCTCAAAAGTACTTTACTTAAGATTATTAAAAATAAGACGCAACAATGAATGCAAAGGAGAAAAACGCACGAAGTTTAAACAGAAAAAGAGAAGAGGAAATCTAAATACACCTTCTTAGTCACCTGTAGAATGAATTAAGGTGTATGTGATCAAAAAATATCGATAGACGGAAATATTTTAAAACTAACGGCATAGGCGTATTCAGGAAAACTCAAGAAAATTGAAATTAAATGAATTATAATTTACAGGCAATGAATTCAAAATCTCAGGACAAAATTACAATATGTGCAATTATTTAAGAAACATTGTGTGAAAGCACTTTTGAAGTTTCTGTAGTAAAGGAAAATTAAAAATAATAAATATTAAAAAGCTTTATTGAAATTAATTCGCATGACATATTTAAAAAATATTGTATTAATTATTATCTGACACATCTTTTGTTTTTCAAAAATTAGTCACAAAGTGCCAGAAATTAATACACGGAGCCAAGTATCAGTGTTTCGTGGGGAGAAAACATCAGGAATGGAATAGAAACGGAAGGATTTTATTCCTAACAGTAAAATCTCGGAAACCATACTGCTTTAAAAGTTCACATCTCTTTCTGTATAAGAAAACATAGAAACGTGGATGAAGGGTGACGTTTTTCAAGAATGCTTGCAAAATTTGTTAAAAACGTAGTATTATAGAAAGTAACTATTCTAGTATTCCTTAATAATTACTTCTCAAGGTAATGTAAGGAATTCAGGTTTCACAACCTATGGATCAAGAGCTAATGTATAGTTCTAAAACAGCTTTAGAGAATTAGAAGCGAATAAAATTTTAACTGAATTAGAAACTAGAAAATTTTCTGTTATAGCTACACCAAGTGTTTTCCGCTTTGAAAAAACCTTTTGAGGTATTACTTCCATATCGATGCCTTACAAGAGATTTCATCATCGAGGTTTTCTTAAAAAATATCTGATAGAGAACTTCATTACATGGAAGGTTTTCAAAAGATCTCAAAGTACGTGATAATTTCGGAAAATTTCTTCAAGGTTTATACCGTAAACAAAACATTTTCTAATTTGTAAACGATTTATCCAAAAACGTTCTACTTACAACTTTGGCAAATTCTCAAAGCTCCAATTATCGCAATTTTTTCAATGAAAATGTAGATGAGAAGAACAAGGCGTATTCGAAAAAAAAAAAAAAAAAAAAAACTTAACGAATGCATTATTGAAGTTAAAGCAACAAGGCTCAGTGTAATATTCATATATTTTCAGGGCTAGTTTCGAAGGTTTAAATACAGAACCTTCTTCAGCTGCAGACTGCAAATGACATTTGTACTTCAAGTTATATTCTATATTTAAACCTTCGAAACTAGTGCTGCAAATTTATGAATATTTCGCGGATTCCTGTAACTTTAACGACTCTAAAAATAGCTATTTTAATTCAAATAAATAATATAATCGAAATAATGTAAAGTTTCTTTTAAAAAGAAGGAAATGAAAGCCAATTACTTTATACTCGTTGGTTGGGTTATTTGCATTAGATACAAGGATACAAGGCTAAAAATACTATGCACTAAAATATTTACAAAGCCGACACAACAGAAACACATACAAACATTAGTACATCGTAATACAAAGAAACACAGTTCACAAGAATTTTTAAAAAAATTAAGCAGCAGAAATAAATTCTTATAAAAACAAACAAAATAAACAAATAACGATTCTTATAAAAATAATGGATGCGACAAGCATCAATTTAACATATAAAAAATTCATAAAAGCTGAAACTATAAACATGTGGTTATCACGTGGTAGAGATGCCTTTTGTACTCAATAGCAAAATATGCCTCAGGTACCTTAGAAATTTGCATGTTACATATTGGGTAATATAAGTAAACTCAAATATAAGGTGTTAAAATGAGAGAGTATACATACAATAAGATGATAAACATGTATATATTTTAAAAATTTAAAAAAGATTGGGATGAAGTGAGCCTAGAATGAATGATTCGGATTCGTAAGAAATTCAAGAGACCTTTCCCTAGGAATTTGGTTATCTCCTAGTTTTGTTCTAGGTTTAACCTGCCTCAGTTTATTATTACATCTGCTTTCATTTAAAGAGAATTCGCTGTTTGATAAGTTTTTGTATATAACAGTAAGGAAAAGGTCGGCTGGACATATTCCGGCAAGTTTTGCTGCTATGTAAGCTTTGCTGGCAAGTTTTGCTGCTATGTAAGCTTTGCTGGCAAGTTTTGTTGCTATGTAAGCTTTGCTGGCAAGTTTTGCTGCTATGTAAGCTTTGCTGGCAAGTTTTGCTGCTATGTATCATTTCTCGCTGGCTTAAAATAAACAACTTACAGAAAAAATCCTTTATCAGTTCCTAGAGAGTCGTTACAGCATTAGTTAACTATTGAAAAAGGCAGCTTACATTTTATTGTGCGATACATAGCAAATTAAATTACTTGAATAAAATAATATAGATTATTCCTAGGATCAGTAATTAATTAATTTTTGTAGCTGAATAAATGAGGTCGGGTGTTTTCTTAAAATTACATTCAGCTATACTTTATGGTGAAATAAATGTCAATAAAATACCGAAAATGGCCATTTACATTAGAATATATGTGTATGAATAGCAAACTAATCTCACTGCAATAGATTGCGCATCAATAATTATATCGTAAAAGTATCAAAACATGTTTCTTTTATTTATGAAACATTTTATTATAAAAATATGTTTCTCTCATTATTAAACATCTTTTATTAATTCTGCGAGACTAATTTGAAATGGAACTTTTATGTGTTGGGGTGATGCAAATTTACTTCATCTCTCTTTAGCTTTATTGTTCCCCTTTCTTCTGAATCACAAGTTCATAAAAGTTTAAAGTTCTTTAGAGACTTTTTGTTCTGAAGTAACCAGAATTTCGACCATTTGAGAATGATTGTTGAAATTTATTTCCCGAATAGTTACTAAAATCCTGTTATTTATTTTGAAGCAATATGAGATTTATCCTACTCCAAATCGTTAATCAACATAGTTAAACGGGCGCCAGTGGCTTAGCGATAATGCCTCTGAACACCAGTAGTTCGATTTGGGATCAAATTCGGGCCAACGTATAAGGTATTTCTCCCGCCTTCTTAGTATGCCTTCGTAGTGTAGCGGTCAGCAAGCTGGGCGCGTATTCCAGAGGTCCGCTGTTCGATTCCCGGCGAGGGCATTGCCCATTTTTCAAATCTCCTGCTTACAAAAAATAATCCTAATGTCTCTACAAACGGGCTGGCTGCATGGTTGGATTCCCCCCTCCATGTGTAATAGGGATACGAACCAGTCTCCCTTAAATGTCCTCCACGAAGGTATCTCTCCCCATAGACAGATAGCCCTCGAGTTGCTTTGCCTTAATCAGTTAACCTAACTGAACATCAGCACAATAAAGCTATTCATTTAAGTTAATATCAATGATTGGAACACTAAAGGTACTAACTTCTTCCTTAAGCTTTTCAATTATGTAATCTTTCTCCATGTTCTTGCCATTAATCCTGGCCATTCGGTGGACACACTGAGCCGCCTCTTCCAAACGTCCTTGGGTTATCAGCCAACTTGCTGACTCTGTAACAAAGCTAAACGATTTTTCTTTATAAGAAAATGAATAGAAAAGGCTAGTAACTTATGAATTACAAAACATATTAACTACTTAATAGTTTAAAAGTGTTCTTTTATTAAAATATGCTTATTACAGCCAATGTTCCAGTCCAGAGTTTCTTTAACTGTGGGTCGCGACACCTAAGGGGTCGCGGGAACTGCAGCAGGGGGTCGACCAAAATTTTAGGAGTTTTGATATTTTTTTTAAGTTATAATAATTTTACAATTACCAAATATTTTTACACAATGTATCTGAAAACAGATAAAGATAAGACAATACAGACAAAGAAAAAAAAAAGAAAACGTTTCGACGTTATTTTTATAATATAAACGTTCATTTTCCTTGCTTCGCACGTGACGCTGTCATTTCGTCTTCAAATTTACTTCAAATTTACTTATTTAAAATTCTCACATTGTTCTATGTCTTAAAATTAGAAATTAAAGTTGGACCTAAAACTGCAATAGTATATTACAGTGAAAAAATTGACAGTTTCACTCACGCGTGTGTCGGATTTGCGCAATCTAATAATTGATTATTTAGTCTTTTATGAAGCAATATTGGGAAATTAGTTGCATTTGTTATACTTTCAGTTAATAAAAGACTAAAATTTTGTTAATATCATATTTATTAAATTAGCATTATATACACGTATGAACTTAACCCTTAAAGTCATGAAATTTTATTTTTTTAATTAATTCAAAAATACATTAGGATTGATATAAAATAGAAAAAAATACTAAAAAAATCTAAACTAAGTTTTTATTCTAATTTTTAAAAAATATTATTGTCAAATGGCTACATTATACAAAAGAATATGATAGGCAAATGTGTAATAACAATTTCATGTAATAATACATACCTTATAAACTTGTTCAGACAATTTTAAAACGAATACATCAAAATAGCAAAAAGCAGAAAAATCTAAAATTTGTTAACACAAATGATGTCCACACCCTATACATCAACTCACAAGAATGACCGTTACACAGTTAGTGGTGCCACCGCACTGAAACTTTCAAAAACATAATACGTAAACAGTATGTATCCAACTGGTTACACTATGCAGTAAGTTTTGTTTTGATTTACATGACGACTAAATATGAGAGATTTACATGACCAAATATGAGAGATTTACATGACCAAATATGAGAGATTTACATGACCAAATATGAGAGATTTACATGACCAAATATGAGAGATTTACATGACTAAATATGAGAGATTTACATGACTAAATATGAGAGATTTACATGACTAAATATGAGAGATTTACATGACTAAATATGAGATACGGCCAAATGGCAACTACATGCATTTAAGAATTAAAGCAAAGAGGTAACAATTTTAAGATTTCTGTGCATAGAATTATTTTTGGCTTACATACTTCTAGATTAAAAAGTTAAAGTACTCGTTTATTAATTGAAGTAACGTTCTTACGTTTATTCGAATTTTTAATTTTATCTCAAATTTCTAGTTCTAGTTTTGGGGAAGAGGTGGAAAAAAGATAAAAGTTCTTCGAAAGTCTGAACTTACAATGATGTGATGACTGCTATAATCATGGGGATCCAAGAAATAATTAGGAGATATTTCCAATGGTGAACATAATATGCAACCCATGGTAAAGCTATACAGATAATTGAGTAAGGAAAAGACCACATAAAAGTATTCAACCGTCGTTTCTTCGGTCCCGTATATTCCACAGCTGAAAGATAAATAAAAGTTATTTTAGTTTACAAACAATTCTAGTAATTCTTAGTTCACAAATAGTTTTTAGTTGAATTCTGGTAATCTTTAGTTTACAAACACTAATTTATATAAGCAGTTTTTAAAAATCTTTTCTATATATCAATGCATTACTATTCCTTTTTAATTTATGAATAAATACCAAAACAACAGTTAAACTTCGGAAGCATTATTTTTGCATTATTTTGACCGTTTCTGTACTTTACATATTCTAAGCTGCATTCGAGAAAAGTGACGTATCACCACTGTTTCCCTAACAAGTTCTCCGTCAAAAAGAATCCCATTATTAGATTAAGGTATCATTCGATAGAAGATAACGATACCTACCCTCGCCCAAACGAAATTTACTACAGAAGAAAGGCAAGGCTATCTGTCACATGTTTAGAACTAATACCATTTATAAGTTCCTCTGTCAGCCTACTAGCTTAGGATCAAAGGAAAAGGGGAAAAAAGTTTTTTTTTTTTCAAACGGAGATTTTCGGAAAGCAGAAACTTTTGATAATCACAATAATATTTTAGTCAGATTTAAAGCCGCTAACAACTTGTTTGGTGCTTTTCTTTAGGTTTAGCTCTGTCTATTAGGAAAATGCCAATTAAGCCAGATATTTAATGCTACTTTAATGGAATGACAGGTAAACAGATTAAATTGACTAAGTCAACTTAAACATAAAGGGTCGCATACAAAATGCAACACTTTATGAATTTTTTTAATGCTAATCAAAACCTTTTTCTCAAAATATACATGAAATAAAAAGATGCCTTAAAAGTTATTTTATTATGACCTTGTTTCTCTGTATTTACTATATTTGTAGCTAAAATTTACTTTAAGCGAAATTATTTAGATTTTTACTAAAATTCTTTGTTTTTTTAGCATTAAAGGTAAGTACAATATCAACATATAAAGCATATTAAACTCAAACAAATTATCGTAAAAAAGACTGCATTAGGATACATTTGTTGTTATTTAAAAACAGAAAAGGAAAGGGAGAAAAAGTTATTTCGTTTGCCTGGAACCATATCCTTGAAACTACGATTCGCAAGACTGTCTTCATTAGTAAAGTTGCAATTTGATTTCGACCATTTTAGGCAACATGTTGTTAACATGTTGAGCGCCATGTCAGCCATCTGTGGCTGACACTAGACTTTCCGTTTAGGACGCGTCAGCCATCTGTGGCTACCGCTAGACTTTCCGTTTAGACCGCGTCAGCCATCTGTGGCTGATACTAGACTTTCCGTTTAGGCCGCGTCGACTGCCGCTGGCTGACAGCGTGTAACATGATATATAACTATACAATTTATACTGTTTTATGGAATTACAGAAAAATTATTTAAAATTTACTTAATTTTGATTTATTACAGGACTAATGGATTTCATTGAAACACGGTAAGCATAAAAACGGTTCTCCATTACAGCTATTACAAATTGTGATAACTGTCTTAGTCTTTTTTCTGGCCATTACTCTACCAGCTTCAGTTGCATTTTTATCATAACATAATTTACAATATTTTCGTACTTCAGAAGCTTTTTCCGGTTTTCTTTGGAGTTTATGCTGTCGTTTCTTAGATATTCTTGCATTTCTGTTTGATGGAATATCTTCTTTTTCACAACTTGTAAGGCATAGCGCTAATTCTTTCCGAACTTCAGTAATGCTAATTTTCTGCTTCGTAATATCTTTGCATACAATGTAACTATTTACAAAACAGACTTGGAGCGTAACGTATTGAATGAATGCCTATAGGAATCACGTTCCAAACGTAAACTATCTTCTACTGCGATAAGAATCGCTGACCCTACGCTTTTAAGCGGCGCGCGTGGCCTAAACGGGATTGCCTAAAAAATACGCTTGGCGCTCAACGTGTTAAAAAAGAAAACAGCTAAGCCTAATCCTAAATTAAACGTACCTTATCTGTGGATCAGTATTATATTTATTTATCTTATATACCTTATCTTATATTTCAGTATTAGTAGTAGAGGGTTTGATTTAGTTAGTGAATTCGTAGAGTCCGAAGTTTCTGGAAGAGGAAACACGGAAAATCACCAATGACCTGGCTGGGATTCGCAATCTGTACCTTCCAACTGATTGTTGAATGTACTAAGAATTACACCACAAAGGCACGTAGTGGGAAAGGCGAAAATTTATTACAAAGTTACAGAGTTGGACTTCTTTGGAAGCATAAATTAGTATAAAAAGGCTAACATGTGTAAACCGAATTGTCGGTGTGTCTGACATAATTGCAGAGACTTGAAAAGGTTTAAAATAACCATTATTAAAATCAGAATATGAACATAAATTCACCTCTCGTTCTCACAAAAGGCACTCTTTGTGGTGATGCATCTTAAAGTAACAGTAAGTTTCATAATTTAAATAAAGCCTTGTACTCGAAGACTACACATTTAACTTTCTAAGTTGGCTCAGAACTTCTCATTGGCGTAAAAATTTAAATGACGGCAACTATAACGTAAAGACGAGTAATTAGTCTTATCAGAGCTTGCAAAACTAAGTAACATGGCCTCGAGAGGCACTGTCTTACAATCCCAAAACCTCAACTTAAATACTCTCTAAACTCATTTACATTTTTGGTAAGGAAACTGAAAGGAGAAGTTACAGAAAAGGCTGAATTTATAAATAACTGGTTAATGCAAAATAATAGTAACCATATAAAACATTTGAACAAATTATCCACCATATTTTAGTTCGTGTTCATTTAAAGAACTTATTTGAATTTTTAGATGACAAGAAACCATGAAATTCACGTATGCTGTGTGTATGTTAAAATATTCGTTTTTAAACGACGCCTTAATAAACGGTATCAGCATGTTCCTATTAATATTATCTTTGAAATACGGCTAAAATGTCTGTATTATTTTATCTAGCACTTTCGTTTTCATTTCATAAAGGTAGAAGCAGGAAAACTGAGTTATACGTTGGCTTTTACAATGAAATCTTATATTACTTTTAATGCTTTAAAAATTAATTTAAAATTTAACGCTTCTTGGCAATTTGTCATTGGCCTAAACTTGGTGTATTTTTTCATAAGCTGTCCTTAGTTCTTGATCCGGAATTATATCCAAATTGCCGGTAAAAATAGGATTATGGCAAGAATCAACATAAGGTGCATAATGAGGTTCTTTACAAAAACAGTTAGCCTTCGTATCTTCTTCATGACGGTTAATGATCCAGTTACTGATGGTCTTAGTATATTTAAAACATATCTCAGCTTTTGTGTCTATTGCAGGAAAAAAGCTTGTGCTTTTATAAATATCTTGTAAAAATTAATGTAATCAGACCTTGGATGCAAGAATATAACGATACAGAAAATGCGTGAGGGCTTCTTTTTACAATTATCTAGTCTATATTTTATAAAATCTGAAACTAAGTCTTTAATATGATCCTTCCCTTTAAAGTTGTTATCGAAATAGTTTTGTATGAACATTAATTGCTTGTTACAAAAAGTTATATATCTGAGTAATTAGACTTTCAGTAAAGCTTGTGTTATTTAACCCTTTGCGGCACAGTGTGTCCGGTCTGGACACACCTAAAAAGTTCCTTCTGTAAGCTCAAAAAAATTGAATGAAACAGTATTTATAGGTTACTATAGGTTGCTCTGAACCTTCTTTATTTATAGTAGATGGCAGCTCAACACAAACCAGTCCATATATTTTAGCCATGTTTAGTTTTTCAAGACCCTCATTTTTCAAAGAAATCTTCCAGTAGTCTAATTAGGCCTAAAGGAGTACACAAGTAAAATTTTGTGAAGATGGCACATATGGTTTTAATTCTTTAATTCTGTGGGTGTGCCCAGAGTGGCACACTGATTTGAATAGAGCTTCGAAAAGAGTGCTGAAACGAGCATTGTTGTTAGTGAACTGACCGATGAGATGCGGAGAAACAAAGAATACAGACTCTCAGTTGTCCTAGATTATCAGTGAGCCCTCTCTAAGCACAACTAGGGTGCGCCGTTTGATTTTAGGCAAGATTTCAAGGTAAAAATTCAAAACTAATATAGAACAAGATTAGCATACAGCCAAAAATTAACATAGAAATTTCTTTTCAAACAATTCCTTTTATACCCTAAAAAAATCTGGAAGATTTCTTTGAAAATGAGTTGGTGTTGGTGTATTTAATTATGGCAAAGCACACTAGGGCTATCTGCCTAAGGGGAGGGATGCCTTCGTGGAGGTCTTTCTAAGGGAAACTGGCTCGTATACACGTCTTTGAAAATGAAGGTCTTAAAAAACTAAACATGGCTAAAATATATGGACTGTTTTGTGTTGAGCTGCCATCTACTATAAATAAAGAAGATTCAGAGTAACCTATAAATCCTTTTTCATTCAATTTTTCTGTGCGTACAGAAGGAAATTTTTAGATGTGTCTAGACCGGACACACTGTGCCGCAGAGGGTTAACACAAACTCCCCTTATGGAACAAATGTACGACGCGGAGCCTACAAAGTGAGTTAATTAAACATTAACTATTACATGCATTGGTAAAACCAACCAAAACAGAAAAGGGCAGCACTTCTTAAGTTCGCTTCATTTCTTAGCCTTGATCTGAAATTTTCAAAATGTATGAAGTTACGCTTGTTAGTTTAAAACAGTCGACAAGTATCCTTTCACCGATTCAGCCCACCAGCGGCCGAGCGGTAAAGACGCTGAACACTGGTAGTTCGGTCTGAGGTTCGAATCCCGCGAACGGGCTGGCTGCATGGGCGTTTTCGTGGTTTTCCCCATGTGTAACGTGTATACGAGCCAGTTTCCCTTAGAAAGTCCTCCACGAAAGGCATCCCTCCCTTTAGGCAGATAGCCCTCGTGTGCTTTGCCATAATTAAATACACACACACCTTTCACCGATTCACCTGTGCAGAGCCGTAACTAGGGTTTTCAGCGCCCAGGGACAACTGAAGATTTTGCGCCCCTTTCTGTGTGCCAAGAATGGAAAACATTTCATTCTAAAATTT